GTACTTATGAAAAGAAAGATTCATTTAAGCGGGAGGTCACCAATAAGCCCAGCTAATTTAACTCATAACCTTAACTGAATCTCATCTCAAATATGTAGCAGGTTCTATTCACGAGGGCCTGACAGTCTCCTGCAGTTGTGGTTAACTCATAATCCCAAAGAGTTCCTATCCTGTATCCAAACACTGTTCTGGACAAAAACAAAACAAAACAAACAAAACAAAAACAACCAAACAAGCAATCCCCCACCAGCATCAACAGAATCAGATTTCCTTTAAATTATACTATTGCAAGAGAACATAATCAGGTTACCTCTATTATGTTGCTTCCTTAAGATTTTCTATTATCTATACTTAATTGAGATACAGAGCTCTTTTCAGCTATAAAGAGGACAGCTACTTTATTAAGGTTTAAATCTGATTTCTTAATGATAGGCTGCTTCCTTTAAAGACTCGAAACCTGCACAACCTTCTTTTGATAAAACCAGACCTGGCATGGTTGAGCCTGGTACTTTATTTAAATCCAGCCTGAGAGTCTTTGAAGGGTGTTAGTTTAAAAGGAAGGTCCCCTGCTTTTGTTTCAGTGCTGGAATTTGAGGTTAGCACTTTAAAAAGAGAGCCTGCTACATCTAAAGCCTAGGTTTAGACCTGTATAAGGATGGAGGATGCCATGGTAGTTTCTGGTATGGGAACGTTCTCCCCTCCTATGTGCTGTACACATATTTGCTCAATTAAAATAAATTAAAATGAATTCATCTTTTAGAGGTTTGTGACATTCTTCAAAATAGCAAAAGCTATCGTAAGGAGTAGCAAAACCAGACTGCGAAATCACTGATTTGAGTAATAATGGCAGCATGCAGCCTTTTTTTCCCCCCCAATCTAGAAAGGCAGAATTTATTCTTAATTTCTCAGGGCTTTTGATACACAGATTTTTCTCCGCTAACTCTGGTAAGAGTCCATATTTATATGTACAAATTTCTTCTAAGGCATGTATCTATTTAGTCATTAAGTTCCAGGTCCTTAAACACTCACATGGACAGAGCAATAAATCTTCCCTCTGAGAACGCAGCCTAAGAGGGAGAAGTTAGGGGAAGGAAAGAGAGCCATAGAACGGCTATTTATGGAGCCTGGCTGCAGAGTCTGGGTCTTTCTGATCCATGGTATGTGTAATTATGTGTCTCACTGCAGGCGTTCTATTGCTCAGTCCCTTTGCCAAGTCTGCTATTCACATACTTTTTGGATATGGCGTCAATTAAACTTGAGCTGTGTTCCTTATGACGACCAAATTAATGGTTTGACAGAGGCTTTTTCAATAAACATTGCAAACTGGCCATATTCGAAGGTTTTAAAAACCGTTTCTTTTCTGTTCAAAATTCTGACAAACATGTCTCAAGACAGACCGGGACAACTTCATTATCCTCCCAACACTTAATGCCTTTTTGTAAAGAAGGCTGTTTAATAACACGTCTGCTGTTTTCACAACTAAATTATTCCAGTTGGTCACACGTTCCAGTCTTCGGCAAGACACTTGTGTTACGAGAGATAAAAACATGAAAAAGGAAATATATTGCAGAAATCAAAAACCTTATCTACTTCTAGACTCTCTCTCTTTGCCATAATTCATTCAAGAAGGCCCCAAGAATAATTTTTGATGTAACTCAGCTACAAACATACATCACTATGCTGATAAAAATCACAGGCTAAACTTATGAAATATAGTGACTTTCATTTCTTTAGTGCTGTTAAAATAACTTTTTTCTAAGGTTCAACAGACACAAAAGATAAAAAGGGTTACCATTAATCCTTTAAAAAAAGAAGAAGAAGAAGAAGCAGCAGCAGCCCCATAGATTATATTCTGTGGTCTGATGATGGTCTTGAAGATGAACTTTTTAGATTAAATCACTGAATTAATTTGATGAAAATACTGGAAATCATAAAAAAAAAAAAAATAACACAGCATCAAGCCGATTCAGTTAATACATCTTTGGGCACTTTACAACATAAATTATGCTGAAAAATTTTTGGTTTCTAAATTCTGGCCTCATTCAGTTCAGTTTGAAGACAGCAAACATTCACTGAGGATAATTCTGCAGGCACAGCGCTAGGGATGAGGATACACAAACCACTTCCTGGATCAATCAGTTGAGGATAGAGAGGGGCGTGGGAGAGAGGGACAGACTTCAAGTCAGTAACTACAGCACAGTTTGAGAGGTGCTGTACCAGAGATGTGGGCAAACTCCTGGGGACAAAGTTACAGAGAGAGCCTGACACTGGAACTGGACCTTGAAAAATGAGGGAGCCAGGCATGAGGAACTGGAGGCCCCTGTCAGCTAGAGGGAGTGTCTGCGGGGAGGTATATTCCAGGCAGTGGGAACAGCAGCTGCACAGAATTCAAGGTGTGTTTGTGTGCAAACAGTTCACAGTGACCGTAGCCCAAATTCAGGATGGGAAATTAGGGGCTATGAGCCTGGAGTGGTCAATGTCTGTAAAGACTCCTAGGCTGAGGAGTCTGGATTCTATTTTGTGAGCCTGTAACTTTCAAACTTTTTTTTTTTTTTTAAAGCAGCAAAATCCTTTTTAATTGGTTGACTTTTAAAATGTAGAATCCCCAAGTAGAAAAAAGTAGCGCTCTACTGGGGAGGCCTTATGCCCAAACCTGTCCCTTCCCCCACCCCCAGGCCCCTGAGGTCCCCCGAGAACCTAGAGATTTGAGGAACATGGTTTTGGAAAGCACTGTGATAGAGGCACAGGGACTTGGGAAATGTCTGACTGGAGCAGTGTGCTTCTTTGTTCAGGGAAGTCACAAATTCTAGATCTCTGGAGCGAGAGTGAGAGAGAACGAAACCTCTTTAAGACCCACATGTGCAGTTTTTACACAGAACCACCCAGTAGGTCTGAAAATAAGAGAAAAAACTCTCTTGCTCGATTGCCGATATTGAAATGGTGGGCCCCACGTCTGCTCTGTATCCCCAAGGCTTGGAACTTGGCATCACTCTCAGAGATGCGTAATACTTCCTTCCTGACTGCCTGATGGCAAGAGGCAACTGGGAGGTGGTGGCTGTGCATCTTTTCTTCCTTCCCTCTTAGATGGGGTGTGTTACACCCCTCACCTTTCAGTGCCTGAATCACACACAGCCTTCCTTGGCAAGTGAGTGTCTTTGTATGAGTGTAAAGGAAATCTGAATCCTGTTTCTAGTTCTTTCCCTAACCTTTCTATTCCAGCTTATCCCTCTATGCAACACGTAAGTGATTGCCTTTCATTTCTCAGAGACATGGAGAATTTACAAAATGTTACTTTTCAAAGCATCCTGAATTCTTGGGAAGAAAGATGCTAGAACAATGACATCTTTATTGGCTGATAAGCTGGAGTGAGAGGAATTAGGAAGAAGATGTTTATCTAGAGGCAGAGGCAAGGGCCCCACAACAGTAAGCAATTTTCTCACTAGCCCTTTCTGGCAGCATTCTTGAGGAATCTCCTGACTGGGATGACAGGAATGGCAGGAAGGGGGGAGGGGGTGGGCACGGACTGCCTCCTTTCCCCCTGTACCACTAAGTTCTCCCTTCTTGCCAAGCTGGAGACTAATGGGTTGAGAGGAGGAGACTATGTAGCCTAGCACAGCTGGATTTGACAAAACAAACACCCACCCATAAATGAGGCAATGTGGCAGGTGCCCTGTCCATAGGATCCCTTCAGGGGGCTCTGTGCTCTTTAGGTCACTGTTTAGTCAGTATTATCTCAAAAACTTGAACCATATTATAAACACTTGCTGGCCTTTACATTTCTTATTGTTCCTTTTGAGTATGTCATTCCTTATAACATTTGTTCCCTAATTCATTGGGCACGGGAATAAAGGGGATTAACAAAAATTAGAAGCTCACATCATCCTCCAAGTTAATGAATCAGAACCCACGGGGGAGGGGCGTCTGGGTGGTTTAGTCGGGTAAGCGTCTGACTCTTGGTTTCGGCTCAGGTCATGATCTCATGATCTCATGAGTCTTGAGATCGAGCCCTGCGTCAGGCTCCCCACTCAGCAGGGAGTCTGCTTGAAGATTCTCTCCCTCTGTCCCTCCCCCTACTTGTGCACATGCGCTCTCTCTAATAAAATAAATAAATCTTAAAAAAAAAAAAAAAGAAAGAACCCACTGGGGATGGGCCCTGGAGAACTGCATTTTAAATAGGCTCCATAGGCAATGCTAATATGTACCAGACTCTGACAACCGCTGTCTTGCAGCCTTCCCCAGGCAACTAACAAATTCTTGTATAGTTGAAACTTTTTTCTTCCATGGAGGGATTTCAGTGTGATCTGTGTCCTTTCTGCCTCTCGATGGGACTGAAGTCTTAAAAATGATTAATCTAAATGCTACACTCAATTACTTAACTGCAAAAATATAATATGCCAAAATATACAACCAGACTGTATCTACTTTGATAATTTAAGCAGAGGAGTGCCAACCCAGCAGCGATCTCTTCTGCAGGACCAGGCAGGAGTTTAATTATGAGCTGGTAGGTCATGCAGCTGCCAATAATCTGGAGGGTGTTGACACTTCCGGCTTGATGGATATCTAAATCTAGTCTTCAGCTGCCACAGGAAATCTCCCAGCTTCCCTCGATCTGGCAAAGAAGGAAGGCAGGTCCAGTTCTGACTGCTCGAGTCCCCCAAATGGGAAGAGAAAGGGAGCACAAAGTGAAATGAAGGCTCTCGTGAGTCAAATTCTCAGCAGGAACCTGCCCCCCAGGCCCCCAGCCGCCAGGGCGGGGCTCCTAAGGTCTGAAGCGGGGCTGTGAGGTTCTCTGCTGCCATCAAGACCTAACAGGATGGGGGCCCATGTCAGGCTCTGGGCACCATAATACAATCCTGTTTGATTAAAAGAAATTTCTGGTAATGAATTAAACAGACCCAAGGAAAAAAGGACACGGTGGCAATATATTCTCCTGGCACCCAGCACACAGAAGGGAAGAGGGGGAAGAGAGAAAGGAGACATAAATAAAAGGGACTACTCACTGGGGCTTTTTTCTTCAGCAAGGTCACAGGCACAGAGCAGGTCAGAATCGATTGAGATGGGTTTCTGCTTAATCCAAAACTTAGTGCTGGCTTTCTGATTCGTAACAGGGTCTATCTCTACTTTGTCTCCAGAGATACCTGTAAGGCCGGGGTGGGGAGGTGGAGGGAGGACAAAAAAAGAAGCCACAGAAAGTGGAAGGTGTAAGTGATTTCAGTGTAATCATTTGACCTGTTTTGTAAATCCTAAATTGGATGAACAAGAGCTCTTTCTTACGGCTTTGGGGAATGCCACCGGCTTAAGAGACCCTAAACGGCACACAGAAGTGCACAGCCTGGTTTCCTGGGTGGGTGAGCTGGGGGGAGAAACCACCAAAACCCATACAAAAAAGGTATTAAGAAACATGCCATCCTAGATGTACCACAGATATAATACAGTTTACCTACATATTGTTAACCCTACGTAACACCTCTGTATTGTAATGAAATAAACCATAACATAAGGTTCATTTAAAAAAACAATTTTGATCAGTGGTCTTTTTTTTTCCTGATCTAGAAAAATCTTAACGCACTAAAAATAGGGAAAACTCTATCTTTTCCCTTCTCTGACACTAAATAATTATCCAAGCTATATTGAGAGGAAGTCACAGGAGGATCAAAGGGTCCTTTACATAAAACCTTCCAAGTTTAAGTCTTGGAGCTTGGCTTCAGTCTGTGGAGGTCACTGCTTCTCCGCTGAGGGAGAAACAGCACTGGGTGTGAGCTTTATGCAACAAAGACTTTATAACAGGAATCCCGCATGTTAAATACTGGCACTTCAGGTTTCATTTTCAGAGCTGTGAAAGACGTAACATATTGTACAGTGACTGGGAGCAAAGGTTTTCGGAGAACAAAGGTAATGCCAGGGATGAAAGGTGTCCAAGGATAACTGTGGCGTGCACAGCAATTGCTCTCCCAGTGTCACTGAGCAGTATATGCTCAGCTTGACACACACGGTCTAGGCTATACGCTCTCTTTTTCCCCTTTTGCTGAAAATTGAGGAATCTGTTCATGAAATGAGACAAAAACCTTCAATATGCCTTCCAGAATGGGCCCCAGAGAGAATCTTGAAAGTAATTAATATTTAGGCCATACTTTAAAGGTCAGAGGCAAAGTGGAAAAAAGCAAAATCAAGTAAAAATAGGAGATAATTAAAACTATCAAATGTACATACTGTAAGAAAAAGACAATAGAATGAATACATTTCATCCCATGGATCACACTCAGAAATTTTTCAATACAACATGAGAAAACTTCGTAGACCAAAAGAAAAGGCCAATAAAAGAAACCTCTCAATTAAGAAACAAAAAACCCAAGTAACACAATGACTATAGTCTTAGAGCAAATTTAAAATTAAACAAGAAAACAAATATAAAAAAAATTCTAGTGATTAGGTCTGCCACACACTCATTTCTATTTTAATTTAGGAATAAAGAAATCCCAAACAGCAGTCAGACAAAGGCAAGAGACTACATAGACAGACTCCAGTAAAGTCTCGTCTGCTGTCTTCAGAGGAGACAATGCAGTACAGTTGCTTAACCGTGGTCATTTCTGTGTGGTCTTTGGAAAAGATGAACAATTGGTATTTTTTTATTAATTGAATGCTGGAATTTGTCACTAGACATATTCCAGGAACACCATATTTCAATTAGGCATAATGTCATAAGTCCAATGGACTCTGGCTGTTCAGATCTAGATGATTTCAGGAGGGTGAGAATGTATCAGGAGACCAATTTTATTACATTTCACTTAAAATAGATTACGACTACCCAGTTACACTCTTCCCTCCAATTTGGTCATTAATTGTTAAAGATCTGGACATTTCTATAGTTCCCTGAAAAAAGAAAAGTACTTACGCCAAGGCTGTTGGTAGCAAGTGTTTTTTTTTGTTGTTGTTGTTTTTGTTTTTTTGTCCCCCCTCCTTTCTCTGCTTCTTATTTTGACTTTTATAAAAGTCAAAAACGAGCAGAGCAAAATAAATGTGCATATCTCTTATGTGGAATAAACCCTGCCCCACATTCCCTTCTCAGAAAGAGAGGGTGAAAAAAAATCATCACCAGAGAGGCACGGCTTTAAAATTTTGTTCTATGGCCCTGCAACTCCTGAAGCCGTAGTCAGTCAATATTGTTAATGTACCTTGTTAATTTGATAGGATTTGTCAGGTAACTCCACTGGAAAATTATATAAAACTGTTCCAGATGAAAAGATGATAGTGACATGAATTAAAGTGATAGAACAATAGTGGAATATAAACCAGAAATGACACCCAAAGTGGCTGTTGATTTATTGCCGTACTGAGTTTGGTTCTGGGCTCCCATGTATATTAGTGCTACAAATCTGGGTCCATTTAGCAGAGGGATGCTCATACATACATCACCAGCTCCTGCTCCAAGCCAAGGTCACTCCCCATGGCATCAATCTTTTCAACAGAGCCTACTTCACAAAGCAGGACTTTTGTAACCATCTCAGATGTAACACACTCTCATCCTCTTTCATCTTTCTTTTATCATGTAAAGTACACTTTAACTTCTATTATTTTTATCTGCAAATTGTTACTGTATAGTTCATCCATTTCGGGCTGTATCTCTGCATCAATTGCCTGCGCTCTGCACGGCCACAAGTACACTTTCCCAATGACGCCCTTCCCGGGGGTTATTGTGCAGTCACTGTTTGCAGAGGGGACCCCAATTCTGGCGTTTGGGGATGAAGATGTGGGAGATGAATGCATTAGGTTCAAGATGGGCAGGCAGGTGGAACACCATTTAAACAACTGGTGTGTTCCAAAAAAGTTGCCTGTAAATCAGATTTTCTTCTGAATCAAATCACATTTTCCCACTGACTTCTAGTTCCAGAGATACTTTATATTCATTTTGGATTGATCTGTAATTGCAGGGGCTCCCAACACTTTAGTTTTAAGTTTCTCTGCCCTGCAGGCTTTCAGTCAAGTAGTTAATGATCTGTAAAACACTCGCCTGCCTAGAGGAGTCACTATTTAAAGGAACCTGTAGGGGCATCTTTCCTGATGGGAAAAATCCTTTTGTACATTAAATAATCTCACCCTCCTTGAGATGTGTGTGAGTCTCAGCTTCTTAAAGCAGGGCACACAGCCCACAGGGGCTGATTTGCTCTTGCTGCACAAGTGACAACCCTCTGCTTTCCAGTTTAGGAGGGTCTGAGGCAGTCCAGCCTTGGAGCCCATTCTCCTGAACGTACCCAGAACCCACTGCTGAAGAGAGTCTCTAGAACCTAGCCTGGCAGCAAACAGAGACCTCTTCTGGGGGTCCCTGGGAGTCCAAGGTGTCCTTCTTGGTTGGAAGGAGGTAGCAGCCTGGTGGAGAGGAGACCAGTTAGGAGGCAGGCACCACAGTCCAGGCCAGGGGCAAAGAGGGGTGAACATTACCTGGCAGCAAATATATGTTAGTTTGGTTAGAAATCCTTTGTTTGCATTGATTCAAATCTCAGGACACTCTTATCACATTGGTCCTGTATTTATCCTTATTTTATAGGTGAGAAATCTGAAGCACAGGGAGGTTAAGTAACTTGCCCAAGATCACACAGCTAAAAAAGCGGCAAAGCTAGAATTGGGAGAAAGCCAGGAAATTTGGCTCTAGAATCTGTCCTCTTAGCCACTATGCTATTCTGCAAGAATTGTGCTAGGTGTTCTATATAACAATGCCCTAGGAGGGGTGAAGGTGCTTGTCCAAGGCTGGGGAGCTTTTAAGCCCAGAGATGCCTGGTTCCCAAGTATGGTACTTCCCACTGCTCTGCACAGCCTCATTCAGTTGGGTCCAGACGTAATGAGGAATGCTGCTTAACTAGTCTTTAGTATCCTCTTTCGATTTTTACCAAGGAACAAATAAACATTCAAATGTGCCAATAAACACACACCTATTTTTGTTCAGACATGGCAAACCGGAGCATGAAATCCTATCAATATTCTTCTGTATGACCGCTGAGTATGGTTTTAATGTCCTTGGCTAAAGCTTTTGTGTAAAGTCACAAAAGAAAGACAGGCGCGCTCCTTAAAGTGTCACTTAAGCACTGTTTTTAAGTAACTCAAATTATAAACATACGTCCAAGAAAACAACGGAAGTTAGCTTTCATTAAGTTTACATTTCTCCAACTTAAATGGCCAATAGAGGAATAGTTAATCCAACCATGATGGAATACAACACAACCATGAAAAACTATGTCTGAGAAAAGCTTTGACTTGGAAAAATTCTTGTGAAGCTAAGTGAAAAGGACAGGAAAAATATTTATAGAAAGGAGATCTAACAGATACGCTCCAAATTGGTAACAGTGGTCAATTCTGGCTAGTAGGATTACATCCTTTCCTTTTCTGTATTTTTCCGAAACAGAAAATTCACCCAAAATAAAAACAAACATCATTTTAGGAGCTGACATTTTCTTGGTTTCTACTTCAGGATTCAGTACCCTTTCCCAACTTTTACAGTGTGGGGAAGGGAGTATGTTGAATTGATAAGCATGAAAGCAGCCCTAAACGAAGACTACCTCCACCTAGCAGTTCTCAAGCACCCAAGTGGCTGAGCCGCTGGGAAGGGCTCCCGTGGCGGCACCACGACCACCCTGGGGCCACACGCACAAACGGCGCCAGGCAGGCTCCACCCGACCAGCTGTGGGAAGCGAGGAAGACAGCGTGAGGGCTGGCCCGAAGTGGACAGGGTCAGCCGCTTCCCTCAGAAATAAGGGAAGCTCCTTGTCTTTTTTACCAGCTCTCCTCCCCTACCCACTTATCCATGGCCATCCGTCATGACCTTTTCATGCTCCCACTTCTGACAGCTTCCAGATACAGTGAGTCAAACTTCACTGGAAGCAAACTATCACGCCAACTGTCAAAGGCAGAAAACAATGTCTGATTGCTGTCCTATGTCAATGCCAGCATATAAATCCTTCCCTAACAAGACAGCTCAAAATAAACAAAAATGCAACTCTAATGTATGTACAACTCTCTGGGGAAACCATTTGTCCAAGGCTTTAGAGTTATCACAAGGAGACCCTCGTCTGTTTTAACTAACCAGAAGATTTCCATAAAAGGAAATTAGCATGTACATCATCTTCTGCTAATAGACTGGTACCTACTT